TTTGTACCAAACTCGGTATGGCTATTGTGCTTGCCAAATAAAAGCAAAACGTCGAAAATTATTGAATTCAGACTAAAATTGAGGCCGCTTTTCATATAACGGTACATTTCAGAATTGCTTGAAACTTCAATATTTCGAAATTTAAGGACGCTAAATTACTCAAAATTGATACACCCGGCTTACCATGTTGCAGTAGCTTTCGGAAAGGTGAAAATCATATATTTAATACTTGCGCCGGGTATTTAATGTTCGGCTCCGCCCGAACTTAGACTTTTAGTTGTTTGTTTTTCGAACCGTTGAACCGAACCGAAATCCCGGTTCAAAGACCAAAAAAACCGCTTCGACGAACCAATCCAAAAGTGCAAAAACGGTTAGAACCGCTGAACCGAACCGACAAAATTTTTCATCCGGTTCACGTCCCTGGTTTCTAGTTTTTGGTGTACAAATTGCAAATCAATCGATACACAAACGTCTGAGATATAGCGAGTTTAAATGAAAATTTCGCAAAAATTTTCCGCAGTAAAAAATCCGGTTTTGTGGCTTTTTCGACATAAAGGCATGAGTAAAAATTTGGTTAAAATTAACTGTAAATGTATTTTTGAATAAGCTGTCGATTACAATTGGTTTGAAATCGCTTCCCTTCACTTCAATTTTATGTTTATTTACGCTGCTTGTTGTTTCCGCTGCTTGCTGTTTTCGCTGTTGTTGTCGCCCAATTTTGCGAGAAAAGAATAACGGACCTGCGTATTGCACAATCTCTTATACATATATAAACCTTGGGCTAACACAATATATACAGTAGGTCCATTCTTTTGCAACCGAGCTACAAAAGAACACCCGCTTAAATGACGAAATACACACAAAGCCCCAACACAAACTCGGCTATTTATCCGAGTTCAGCCAGGTCGGTTAAAAAATACGCGATATGAAAAGTAGTGTTGTTAAGTGAAAAACTGCTCTATTGTGAATTGTTAATGGGAAAGTGGAGAGGGAAATTTTTGTTTTCGTATATACATGATTTATATTTTAAATAAGTATATATATTACACAAATACCTCGCATAGTTACCAATTTCTATTGTTTTTTGTGTCTAAATATTGTTTAACTAATCACGTGGGTCTTGCCAGCTACCAGCAGGGTTGCTTAAGTAGCTAAAAGGAAACTTTACCCGAGTTGAGCGTTCTTTTGTCCACAATATAACCAGTAAACAACCTTCGGTGAATTTGGCGACTGCCTTCCTCGGGGATGAATATGCTAGGGATGAAATTATTGGTACACACGCCTTCCAAGCACGCAGGGTTGCTTTTAAGAAACAAAAAATAATTAACTCCAAATAGTTTCAAAAAGTATAGTGTAAAACGAAATTTATTGAATTGTAACGTAGCATATCCGCTACGATACAATAACATACAGCATCGTACATACATACAATATTGTACATACATACTGCACCGCACATACATACAACATTGTACATACATACTCCACTGTACATGTGAATACAGACATACATACAGCGACGTACATACACACACCATTGTACATATACACTACACCAAGTGAGCACTGCTAGCAGCACACCAGCAGCATTCCCGAATAACTCACCAACCACTTCGCTCACCACACTGCATAAATCGGGACGGCACACGACGAATTCTCAACAAGCATGCAGCGCAACAGGTATAAAAGGCTTAACAAGTGCGCAGTCAGGTCAGTCTTGCTAGGTGAGTAGCTGACTTGACTGGTCGATGAGCGGGTGGCGTGCTTGCGCGCTAATGTCTTGCCGGCCAGCCAAGCCAAGCTCGGCGTAACCAATCGGTCGATCAGCTGGTGTGCCTGCGGGCGCGCCAATGTGTCACCGATTGGCCAAGCCAAAACCAAGTACGACTCAACCCGCCGGCAGACCAGGATTGCACGCCTTTTAGGCATCCTAATTGGTCGCCGGCTGGTTGAGCCTCCGACACTGCCGACCCGTTCCAGCCCCTACTTTTGTAGAGAGCGACTAGGGGAATGGCAGTGCCTGGAGTGAGTCTTGCTAGGTCGTTTCGCTCCACCGGTTGCCGAGGGCCAGTTGCTGTTAGAAGTCACCCGCTGCCGCATATCATCCGTCGTAGCGCTCCCACCGCTGCTCAACCGTTGCTCCGCTGTTGCCGAGAGTCACCCGCTGTGCCGCCGCCGCTGCTCAACCGTTGCTCCGCTGTTGCCGAGAATCACCCGCTGTGCCGCCGCCGCTGCTCAACCGTTGCTCCGCTGTTGCCGAGAATCACCCGCCGTGCTCCTAGCGCTCTCACCGTTGCTCAAGCGTTGCTCCGCTGTTGCCGAGAATCACCCGCCGTGCTGCTAGCGCTCCCACCGCTGCTCAACCATTGCTCCGCTGCTGCTAGCGCTCTCACCGTTGCTCAAAAAGATGCCGCCTACAGGGCCACGCTGCGATCGGGCGCAACGCGCGCTATGTGGGACCGCTATAGGGATCTGAAGAGGGAAGCGAGACGTATTTGCCGCAATAAGAAGAGAGAACCCGAAATACGTGAGTGCGAAGAGATTGAATTGCTGGCCGACAGGAAGAATGCCAGAAAACTTTACCAGAGAGTTAGGCGACCTACGGAAGGTTTCAAGACCGGGGCGTACTCCTGTAAGAGCAACAATGCCGACTTAGTTACCGATGTTCAGAACGTACTTAAATTATGGAGGGAACACTTTTCCACGCTACTGAATGGTAGTACCACGGAAAGTTGTGGAGAAGAAGAACCCGAATCCCAGACGATGATGACGGAGTTGATGTTCCTCCGCCTGGCTATGACGAGGTACGATTAGCAATAACGCGGCTGAAAAACAACAAAGCTGCAGGAGCTGACAGCCTGTCAGCTAAGCTATTCAAGTACGGTGGTGAAGAGTTGATAAGGTGCATGCATCAACTCTTATGCAGACTGGAATTTAAGTGTGCTCTGCCCAATCCACAAGAAAGGCGCCCACGCCATTCGCTCCAACTACCGCGGGATCAGCCTTCTAAGCATAGGTTACAAGGTCGTATCGAGCGTATTGTGTGAAAGACTGAAGCCCACCATCAATGAAGTGATTAGGCCTTATCAGTGTGGCTTAAGGCCTGAAAAATCCAACATAGACCAGGTCTGCTCAATACGCCAAATCTTGGAAAGACCCGCGAGAAAAGAATCGACATTCACCACCTATTTGTTGACTTTAAAGCCGCTTTCGACAGCACTAAAAGGAGTTGCCTACACGCCGCTATGTCAGAATTTGGCATCCCCGCCAAACTGATACGGCTGTGTAAAATGACGTTGAGCAATACCACCAGCTCCGTCAGAATTCGGAAAGGCCTCTCCGAGCCGTTCGCCACCAAACGGGGCTTCAGACGGGGCGCCTCTCTTTCATGTGACTTCTTTAATCTGATGTCGAGAATATAGAAAGAGCTGCAGAACTGAACCGCTCAGGAAAAATTTTCTACAAGAGCGTGCAATTGCTGGCTTATGCCGATGACTATGATATCATCGGTATCAAAACTCGCGAAGTCTGTTCTGCCTTTTCCAAGTTGGATAAGGAAGTAAAGCGAATGGGTCTGGTGGTAAACGAGGACGAGACGAAGTATCTCCTGTCATCAAAAAAACAGTCAGCACATTCGCGCCTTGGCACCCGCTTCACTGTCGACAGTTATAATTTCGAGAAAGTAGAGAATTTAGCTTACTTAGGAACCAGCATTAACACCGATAATAATGCATGGAAATCCAATGCAGAATCACTCTTGCCAACAAGTGCTTCTTTGGACTGAGTATCCAATTCAGGAGTAAAGTCCTCTTTCTACGTACGAAAACGACACTCATCATGCCCGTGCTGGTATATGGCGCAGAAGCATGGACAATGACAACATCCGATGAGGCGGCTATTGGAGTATTCGAGAGAAAGATTTTGCAGAATATTTACGGGCCTTTACGCGTTGGCGACGGCGAGTACCGCAGACGATGGAACGATGAGCTGTATGAGCTTTACAACGACATGGACATACTGCAGCGTATTAAAATACAGCGGCTCCATTGGCTTGGTCATGTCGTTCGAATGGACACCGACGCTCCAGCTCTGAAAGTATTCAACTCGGAATCCGCTGGTTGTAGCAGAGAAAGAGGAAGGCCCCACTGAGGTGGAAAGACCCGGTGGAGAAAGACTAGGCTTCACTTGGCATTTCCAATTGGCGCCAGTTGGCACAGAAAAGAGACAGTGCAGTGCACATTATATCAATGTGGGAGTTCCACTCATGGTTGCCACAATTGGTAACTTTTTTATAAAAACCTTTCGAGTTTCAGTGGCAGCACTACTGACACTTCTACAAGTTTAGAGTCATCTCATATTCGAATACTCGAAATATTTGAATTACAGTGGCAGCACCACGGGCTGCACTTCTGAAGCAACTTTCGAATGTTTGCTATATTTGAATTCTACAGTAAAAATGGTATAAAAATTCGGCCATCTGGCAATTTTTGGTAAGGTCCACAAATCGTTTTGATTATTTTGGCACAAAAAAAAAATTTTGCGTGCTTTTTACCGACATGTATTTCGACCCATAGAATCCGATTCTGAGGTCCGTTTGACACGTACAGTAAATTATGAAAAACAGAAAAAATAGCTCGAAATTTCGGTTAAAAGCACCCGCCACTTTTTTGTATGCCGGTGCTATTATTCCGTGAGTCGCAGGTTCAAATATCGGCACATTCCGAACGAAAAATGACACTGAAGATGGCACAACGCCGAAACCGGTTTGTCTTCAAACCAAATTTGCCTAAAGATGACGAAATATCGTTCCAGATTACATCATACTCCTACCCCGTCGGAAACACCAACAACGAAAACGAGAATATCGGCACATGCAGTAATTAATTGATAGAAAAATATTTTCTAATAAAAAAATTATTATAATTGTCAATAGCAATTTCAATCTTGATAATTTATCAAGAAAATAGATTTAAACTTCTTTCCTAGAACTGGGAGTTTTTGATAAATAATCGAAAATTGACAATTTATAAAAATATTGAATTTATTAAGTGCACAGAATCGGGTTGTAAGTATATCGTCACTAGACACGAATAAAGGCGCGAGCTCAAAAGTTGACGGCGAAAAAAGACGCATAAAAAAACTTTAGCGTCAAAAACTCTTAACATGCTTCGCCGAAGTTTTTCATAAGCATCTTTTTTCGCAAAATTTTTTTACGCGCCTTTTTTCGCCGTCAAAACACTATCGCGCCTTTATTCGTGTGTAGTGACGATATACACATTTGGTATGAAATATAGCAGTTTTATTCAGTATATTTTTTTCTCAGTGAAGAAGTGAGATTTTGGTAGAAAAAAATGTTGACGAGTGGCAACCATGGTTCCACCTGTATCTTTTGTTGATTGTGACACCCACACTGAGAAAAGAGTTTAGTTACGTCAACTAAATATGTTTTTATCAACACATGATTTGGTTATAGTTACATTATTTGTTTATAGTTACCAAATCATGTGTTGAGAGGAATATATTTGGCTGACTTTTTTCTGAGTGCAGTACTCTTAGCTCATTGCTTGGTTGGAGGTTTATATCGTGAGATAGAATTGTACGTTGGCAATTGTGTTTACGACAGATGTGAATGTATTTGCTTTTTGATTGAGATATAAATTGATACTGGTTACTTGCTCCTGAGTATTTGCACCAATCTAAAATGTCACTGAAAATGTTGTTCATGTCTATTAATGGATTTTTTTCTTTTTTTGACTTAACGATGATATTGAAGTCATCCGCGTATGCACAGAAACCGAATTCTTTGTGAAGAGATATTATGGAGCTTAATTTATTATAGGCGATAAGAAAAATAATGACCGATAAAGGTGAACCCTGAGGAATTCCATTGTCCATGGGTCGGATATCGGAGAACTCGTTATTAACGCGTACCGTAAATTTACGGT